ATACGGGCGTCTGCCTGAATGTCTTGGAAGTTAATTTACCAGGCCAGTTCCTCTGCAAGGACTTCATTACCTCCAGCCATTAAGCTAATGTTATGGACTTTTGCAGGGTGTCTGCACTGACATCGCTATTAATAGTGTTATTACTCCCATTAACAGCAGACCCAAAGAGCTGGTATGGCCTTAAATTATTCACTGTCTCCCCAACTTTGAAGTTCCTATTTTCAAGAGCAATCAGTGGGTCTGAAAAATGTCTCTGATTAAATTATGAAGAACGAAAAATGAAGCTTCTTCCAGGTCAAACAGCACCTGGAGTAACCAAAGAGAGATCCGGATAGAAAAGAGGGGACTCCATCTCTCTTGCAGTGAGTGCGAAAGTACTTGGTTGGGGAAATCTTAGGAAGAATTCCACCTGCATGGTTTACTGCTTCCAAAGTTTATACGGCTGCATCCTGCTATGGCTCCTGAGCGCCCCAAACAAACTACTGATCCTCTCCCTCAAATTTAGGTCTTAGCCAGGAAAGCCACCTATTATTTACAATTTTAAACATCTTATCTAACTGTGTAATTTGGAGCAAATTATTAACCTCTTGGTGCCTCAGTTTTTCTCATCTATAAAATGGGGACAAAATAGTATCTACCTAATAGGGCTATTAAGAGGATTAAATGAGATTATGCAAGAATTTAGAACAGGGCATCTCATAAACATTAAACCCTCAATAAATGTTCGCCTGTGTTAACTCCTCTCTTTTCTGCTCTCCACATCCAACCCTTCCAAGCTGCAGCTGATGCAGAAGCACAGAGCTTCTTCCAGACCGGCCCACAGGGCACATCAAAGACAGAAAGACAGGGATGGCTGTAGCAGTTTTCCTCTCAGTGCAGGAGGGGTCCCCAGAGGGCAGGAGGGAGAAAAGAGACAAAGAGTGGTCTGGCTTGGAGCTCTGCTTTCTTACGGGCTGTCAAAGGGTATTGAAAACCCAGCTCTCTTAGTGGAAAGTCAAGTTTAAGGTCAGTGTCAGGGATGTTTTGCCATTTCTACTATCCCTCAGGGCCCACAGGGGTAGAGGCTGCAAATGTCCAAAAGCACAGACAATTGACCTTAGAGGTGATAGGATAATGGAGGGGGAAGAATGAATTCCTTCTGCGTTCTTATGGAGCCCGTCGGGGTAATGGCCTTCTGCTCTCCTAGGACTGTGATTTCTTGTTAGTCTAGGCAAGAACTAGGAAATGTGCAAAGAGCTAATTCCTGACCCTTGGTGGGGGATGCTGACTGTGGTGTTTCTTGCAACAGGGCTGTAGTACTTCCTATAGAATTTCCTGCAATTCCTCTGCAGGAGTGTCCTGCCAGTGGAGGGAGACCCTGCTTCATCCATTGCCAGGCAGGACTCCCTATGACTGAGTTTTCAGACTTCCGTGCCTGCCACCACACCCAAACACAGGCCTGCAGTTGGCCAGCAGGAAGCCAGCCCCGAGAAGACACCCTGGGCCCCATACTGGAGTCTGGCCCTGCTAACCTCTTAGCCCTCTTACTCCCCGCAGCACTGTCTCTGTAGTTCTGCCCTCCAGGCCCAGTTCAGAGGTACTAAAAGCCCTCGGGGACAAAGCCTGACCCCTGGAGGGGTTATTATTCAAATCAGTGGTTCCAGTGAGATTATTCTCTCTAATGAAGCAGCTACCTTGCTGTCCCCAAGCCTGAACTTTCACTGCCAGAGAATTCTTAGCCAAGTGGAAAATTAGAAGGGAGAGGAATGGAGAAAGGAAGGGGGTGAGGCAGAGGGGAAGAGGTAGTGATTAAGTTCTCTAGAAATTAATTCCTAAATACAGTAATAGAAATATTAACTCTAGTGCAGGCAAGCAAATTTCAACTTGGAAATGCGGCTATCTGTGGGCTGGCCTGGGCCAGCCTCCAATCTGAGAGGGTTGTTGGGGCTGTGACCCCTGGCCCTCCATCAGGGAGCCACCAGCCTATCAGAAATTGCTTCTTGCTTCTCCCCACAGCTGACCTGACATATTACCTTGGCCATGGTGTCTGCTTAAGTGCACCAGGGGGGAATCTGTGTTGAGAACACGAGATTGAAAAAAGTGGATGGGGCTTCCCTATGAGCTTTATAGAAAAGTTGGGGATCGCTTACTTAGGTAGGAGATCATGGGGTTCCTTTGGTCACTGTCTCCACATCTGGGAACCCTGATAAGAGAAGAAACTGGCGTTTCTGAATGTCATTTTTGTTGCCCTCTTTGGGAATGCCCACAGAAATGGGCAGGCTTCTGTGCAGCTGGCAGGAAAGTGGGCTGGACAGTAAAGGGAACCTTTCTATGAAGGGCGTGGACCAGGGGAGTCCTTTCAGTGTCATGATTCTAGGGTCTGGTGACTGACATGGTCTCAACCTAAGGATTTAGGTTGTTCTTAGATGAACCACGATTACACCACCATTTTCCCTCTGCCACCAGCTGCTGTCAACTGAACTTAGTACCCCTTCCCCACCTCTAAAAATCCAAAGTCAGACAGAGTAGCAGATACTAAATTCACCACACCACCTGGGCCTCACTCAGTGGGCAAGGTCACTGAAGCAGAAGGAGGGCACAGGGCTTAACGGGCACCAGAGTCCGGTAACAGCCCAGGTACCTTCCCGGCTGGTGCTACCCAGTGGTCCTGTTCCCCCACTGTGGTGGGCTCGCTGCCTTCGCTGAGAGGCCACGCTCGCCTTGGCTTCCTTTCAGCCCCTCCCCAAATGAAGATCCACTGGACACAAACCTCAGGTGGTAGTAAAAGAGGCCTGGACAGGTTCCTTCCTTCTGAGGAGGGATAGTACATTTAGAGGTGTCCAAAAGAGAAGGTGAAGCAGGGCTGTTTCTCCTTGGTCAGCAGGTAGTGCTGTATATTTCCAATAAGGTTGAGGAGAGGTTAGGAAGAAGAGGTGGAGAGAAAAGTAGGAGCGGAGGGAGAGAGGGACAGAGCACAAGAGGAGGGGAAAAGGGGCAGGAGAAAGCAGGGTGCATCACAGCAGGCTGATCGGGCTATCTATGACCCAACTAGCAGCAAGCTTGGTGCACATCCAGCAATCACTCTGACTGACTCTGACCAGCCTTCACACTGCACTGTACCCAGCAGCCTGGAGCTGTCCTGTGCATCAGTGTCCCGGTCAGCGGGGAAGCCCTCTGCACCGGGCAAGCTGGGCCAGTCCACCCCATGCGGCCCAGGCGGCATGACTGGGCAGAGTGTGTGAATGCTGGAATGTGGGGGGTGCGTCTGGACTTTTAAGTTCAGAGGGAGCCCCACTCCTCAGGTTATCCCAGGAGGCCCAGTCATTACACTGGGAGAGACATTCCAAGCTCGTGTGGACCACAGGCCTTTCCTAATTCCCAGGAGAAGACAGTATGGCTGGATGTGCTACACTTACGTATGTGGGGAGGATGAGAGGAGGCAGTGGCGACCAGAGGAAAAGCAAGTTTCCTTAACCTGTACTATGTATCTGCTGAGCCAGAGAGAAAAATCCAAATAGAGTAGCATATAGTCTGGAGAGCTTTCCTCTGGACCAGAGGTCAACAGCTCTTTGGAGAGGCAACAGGGAGGACCACAGCAGAGAGCACAAAGAGTTTGCTGGGCAGAAGTGGATCCCAACAATTCCTCATACTGGTGTAGACATTCTGCAAACAGCCCTAGGAGAGATCAGTGACTTAGCAGGTTAGTATCAAGTAGTCCTTAGACACAGGCTAAAAAACAAAAACAGGCTATGGGCTATGCTAAGAAGTAACAAGGAAGGCCTTGCATTTTAGGAAGCATTTGTACATCATTAAGGGGACACTCAGCCATGGCTATGGGACGAACTGTCTCTTGGCACTTTCCTGGGTGGCCAATGGGCAGCCAGACACCTGGCTGCTGGAGCTGCCTGAGTGCCAGAGCTGGCTGGGGCTGCCCGAGGCAGGAAGACTTTCCAGCAGTGGGTTTGTCCCAGCCACCCAGCTGCAGCTCTCTGGTCCTGGGGATGACAGGAAGGGGAAAGGGTCCCTGGAGGAGGCCCTGGGGTCTGACGTCTCTGCTCACACAGTCATAAACCCAAGGCCACCTCCAGGCACAGTGAGGGCCCTGCACACACATCCTCTCCCCTCGCACAGTATGGTTGTAGGTGGCTGTTCTGTTGTCATTTTACAGGTGTGGGAACTGAACCCAGACAGGTTCTTAGTTTCCACCTACCCCTCCTGTCCTGAGCAGCAGCATTTTCCTTTCCTCTCTTCTCTCCCTTCCACTCCCTTCTTTCCATCTTGGCAGAAACCACATAAAGAAGAAAAGGAGCAAATCCTGGGCAGTAACCTGTGCCAACTCACCCAGGGGAGGGCATTCTTTCAACAGAAGAAATTTGCAAAGAGAAGGGGTCACCAGGAGCAGGGAAAGACTCCACAAAAGCTGATCTCATCTTTCCCCTGTTGAGGTCTTGGTTTACACGAGCCTCCCAGGGGTGACGCTGATGACCCTTCCCCAGAAAGGTAATGTCTGGGCCAATCGATGCGGCTGGTCTGCCAGGGGATCCCATTACCTGCTGAGACTGAGCTAGGCTTCTTGGCCTGGGTCTGTGTGGAGGGGAGATGGAGAGGCCTGGGGACCTGCCAACCCTGCTGGGTGGAGGAAATATTCCAGGCCCAGGACAGGTGACGGCAGGCTGGGCTGTAGGCTTTCCTTCACCTTCACCCAAAGCAGAACAGGTAGGTTCAGGCCCAAGATGAATGCCCTGGGAATAAAGGCTCAAAATTCATGGACAAATAAGTACCAGAATACCAGGCTGTTGAAGCTGTTTTGCCATTATTAACTGGCAGGTCTGTGGGCTGGGCCAGGGACTGCAAGAGCGGGCAATGGGGTGACCCTCTGCGCTGGTGGGTCAGCAGGCCAATGCTTCCTGACAATTGAGAATGAGTAACAGGAGGGGGGGTTTCAATTACACAAGCATTTCTTAAGCCTGTTCAATCTGCAACCCACCTGTGCCCTTTCGGGTACAAACAGCCCTTTCAGCCACCTGAGCCACCTGTTAGTCGGCGTCCTGCCCTTGAACTGCGCTCGCCCTCTCCCTCTCTCTCCCCCCCTTCCTCTGACTCTGGCTCCCCTACCCTCTGTGTCTCTCTTGTGCACACACACACAGAGCTTCTACTGCCCCTCTCTTCCTACAAGGTTCCCACCCTCCTCCTTCCTATTACCATGGGAGAAAAGATGGAAAAGTTGGCAGAAGTGACAGAGAAAGCAGGCGTTTCTCGGCATGGGAAGGAACCCCTTCCTGATGCCCTTTGCCTGGGTTCTCCTGAGTGCCGGCTGCACTGTGCCCTGCAGCACTTGGCACAGGGTGTTGCCCACAATGTAGTTCTGACAAATGCATGGATTCCAGTACAGTGTAATCCCCTACTCCATCCTGGACCAGAGGTCTGGTTCACATAGTCCCTTCACAGCCCTGGAGCCCAGCCCCATGCCCGGCACAGAGGGAACAGGGTGGGTGTCAATCTATGGACAAGACTGTGTGGATGGGCACAGCACTCCCACAATGCCCTGAAGCCCCAGCATGTGCCTGCCCACTCCTAGTAAACTGAGGCACGCAGGGTAAGCGTCCACAGGTGCTATCTGGTCCTCCTCAACCTCTGCACTGACTCTGCCGTGCCTGCTTGGCCCACATCCTCATGCATCTCTCTTGGCCATGAATGTCCAACCACCATCTATTTAAGATGGAAGGGAGAAGGTATCAGGAGAAGCCATATCTGACTTTGACCTGAACTTAAGCAACTAAGGAAGAAAAGCCCACTGGGAAGAAGAGGAAGGAGGATGGGAGAACTTTCTGGATGTAGGAAATGTTGTATACTTGATGGTGGTGTAGATTCCCTGGGTCTCTGCATTTTTCAAACTATATACTGAGGATCTGTGTGTCTTACTCCCTATAAATTAAACATTATATCCTGATTTAAAGCATCTTAGAAAGAAAGCTTCAGGGACCTATTGTTTTTCACATGGCCATGTGGGCCAGTGGCTTCTCCTTGGTCATTAACTCTGGGAGGGAGGCAGGGTGGATCTCCTGGGTGTCCCAGCAGACAGGCAGCCTTGGCCTAGGGGTGCTCAGGAGCTGTATCCTACCAGGAATCACTGGGCCGAAGCGGGAGGCTGGCGGAGCTGCCCCGCGGTACTCACGTGTTGTGGAGCACACACCAGCCGCAGTGGGGGTCGCCCGAGCCAAGGCACTCGCTGCAGCTCTGATACTGCCCACAGGACTCCACCGGGACTCTGGTGAGCTAGGATGGGACCGTAAGACAGCAGTTAGGGCTCTGCAGAACACCCAGTATTTTACCAGAAAGAGATCCTACTCTGTCAGGCATAGCATGTAGGACACTACAGGGGGTGGAAGGGCCTGGAGTCCCAGAGCCCAGAGAAGCCTGCAGCGAGCAGGGGGTCACGTGAGCAGCCCAGGTGACAACCACCTGCTGTTTCCTCAGAAGTCTCTGGGAATAGACTCCATAGAGTTCATATTAAATTCTCATAAAAGATACTCATATAGTGTACATCTAAATTTTCCCAGCACCAAAACCCAAAAATATCTCCATGTACATCCGATTCATCACATATTTATTTCTTATCAAAGTAATAAGCCCAGATGCTTATTCTTTTTCCATTCTTGTTTCTATTTTGCCATTAAGGGTTTCACCTTCTTCCAGTACCTCCTCCTTCCGGGCTCATCACTTTTGCCGTCCCTGAGAGCATGTAACCCAAGTGCAAGCCCTCTTTTCTCTGCCTTTCACAAGGTGTTGTAAATTCACTCTAGCTGCAACATGCCCACTCTCTCTTTCTTATAATGTTGGCCAACTGGCTCTAAAAGTTGTTCACTCTGGTGCCTTCAAAGAGCAGCTGTTGCAATTTCTCCTCCTACCCACACCCTTTTCCTGACTAGAGGCTTCCTCTCCAGCCCCAAAACTTGATATTCGCTTTCACCAGCCGCTCGTTAATATAAAATGTTCCACATGACACTTCCGTGTAGCCCAAATGCTTCCATTTCCTGCGTGCTCCTAGAGATCTTTTGCATTTCTTTGTCCTCCAACGTAGCTTTGCCCAGAAGTCTTTTTACATGACTTCTCAGGGCTTGATAGACAGGAGATAGTAACGATGCACAGGAGCAAATGGAATTTTAATTTTCTTTCTATAGCCTTGGTCTTTATTCTTTATTTTGCCAGTTTCTTTTTGACAAAAAGTTTTTTTTTTCTTTTCTAAGTCATCCTTTTCTATTTGGGATACCTTTCTATCTCAATGGAGAACTCCTTGCTAATCTTACAGCTTGAGCTGAGAATTTGATGCATACGACCTCTTTAATTTTCCATCATTGGACAACAGGCACTAGGTAGGAACCATACTGAGGTCACTGAGCCCCTGTGCTTCATGAGCAAATGCAGAGGCTGTGTTTTCCCTGCTGCTTCGTAGGGCATCTGTCTCCACAAAATTATGTACACTTGGCAGGGGCTACTTGTAACTCCCCCACAGGTGAACTGGCACCACAGTTGGTTCAATTAGTCTTGAAACTCTCTTTTGGAAGGCATTAGTAATTAATTTCAGATCACACATGATCTCTTTCCCCTTTCTACCTTAATTTTCTTTATTCCCTTTATCTGTCTTTGTTTTTGCAAGTACACACTGAGCATTCCTAACGACCGCACTGCGCGGTTACTTCTCCAAGTTCGCCTCCTCCTCTCGCTCTTAGAGCTTTGCCCTCGGCCATGAGGACCCCTTCTCCAAACTCTTAGAGGGATTTGTGTGCTTTTGGAATTCTATCTTTCCTCTTATTACTGCCCAGTAATCAGCATGGGCCATGCCTCAGCTCGACCTCCATAAAACCTTCCTATTTTTGTAATTAATCCTGCCAATCAGTTTCTTACAAATTACCCTGGTGGCTCCACTCACCACCGGGAACTTCACCCTATTCCTGTTGCCTCTTTAATTTCTATCCTCACCCCTTAAGTAGGCGTAGTACATGCTGGTCATGTAAGCACATAAGTAATGGTTCCAGAGCCAAAGTACCTGGACTCCTAGGAATTCATGAGTGGTAATGAGGTCCACAAGCTATTTTCAATATTTCCAAATGCCTAATGGAAATTGGATCATTGCTGTTTTCTGTTTGTATGCGTCCTCAGTGATGTATGTCTCATATTAAAAATAGAAAATATATTATTACTTAATAAATGCAGCTTGCTTAGTAGGCAAAAATCTTTCAAAACATGATGCCTAGAGGGAAAAAGTAATAAAAACGGGCCATAGATGGTGGAAGTTGGTAACATAAGTATATAATAATGTTTTCATATGTTTCAGCTGCTAGTCTAGCACTCCATATTTTGCATGGGCTTAAAGAGAAAATCATGGCTTGTTCAATCAAAAGCATTTTCTGTGTCTAAACTTAATTAATGTCCACCCCAGTTTCTCCCTCTGACATGTTCTGTAATCTGTCCTGGATGGATGTGCCACGGGGCTCCGGGTGTCCAACATAAAGAGCCAGCTGCTTGGCGAATCTGACGTCCTCAAAAAGATTTTGCATTCAGAGTCCTAAAAATATCTTGCAACTGGTGTTTAATAATGTCAATACCTGGAATTATAAAATTCTTCCTCTCCCTGATTTTCAACAGGAGTCAATTTAGTTTGGTTGAAAAGAGTGTAGGAGCCCGCAGAGCTAGATTCGAACTCTGGCTTCACCACTTACTAGCAAGGAGATCCTATTCTTGGAATCACAGTTTTTTCATCTTTAAACATAGAGATAAAAGTCCCACCCCCGCCCTACCCAGGCCAATTCATACTTTCCCAAAGCACAGATGATCTGACAAGCATGAAACTGCTTTGTAAATGGTCAAGAGTATTATAATTGATGGTCATTATTAGGTTATCTCTGTCATTAACACCCCATTCTCCATCACACTGTCACGTTACATCTTCTGCACATTACAAACTGCTCTGATAGTCTCAGAAACTCCATCAGGAGTTACCTGGAGAACTCTTCTTTGGTGCCTTGATCACATCATTTCCTTCTTGAACTGTGATGTCTGCCCCTAAATCATTCACTGCTCCGTCTTTGGGATGAAAACCTGGGGTTATCCCAGCTTCCTGGACTCATTCAGTGCTTTTACCAGCTGTAACTTTAACAGTTACGTATTTTCCTTTGCTTTTCATGTAGTTGGACCTCTGTGAGACTGGGGCTTAAGTCCCGGGCAGTTATTATGAGACCCAACTTACTTCAACCTTTTTTTTTTAACAGGTGCCTTCTTTATCTGTACATTTCGGTCCGTTTTTCTTATTCTTCTGAACTTTATCTAGATTTTCTCCATTATTTTTACAACATGGATGCTAAAACTGAGAAGGCAACAGGATTCTGACAGGCCAAGTAGAAAGGTCACCATTATTTGATAGGTAGGTACCACCTCCCTCGCCTTCCTGGGACTTTCCCAAAGAAGGCAGGGTCTGGAGAAATCTCCCAAGTCTTGTTATCAGGGAATATTCTCTGGCACAGCCAAGCCCCCCAAGACTGACTCCACATCTGCACCACTGAGTTGCCTCACTCTCCACCCCACAGGTAATTCTGGAAAGCATCAGAAAGTTCCTTGACACTTCACTTTAAATCACTTTTGAAAGCTACACTCAGTCCACCATTTACCTTGGCTCAGTTCTTTACGCTAATGGCTCTGGTTCCCTTCTACACTTTGCTAATAAGAGGCACAGGTGCCCAGGAGGCTTCTGAGCCACCTTGGCACTATGATTCTCTCTCCCCCGACCCCCAGATCCTCCACCCACACCTTATACCAAACAAAACCACCTCTCCCAACCCCCTTCAGTTCTTCTCCTGACCCTGGAACACAAACCGCTCCAGATGCAGAGCTGCACGATTAATTAAAACCACCCCACGCTGATTAAAGTCTTAAGCTACAGTGCCAGGCATGCTAATTAACTGAGTGGGGGAATTCAGACCACAGGAAGAGGTGAAAAAAGAAAGTCATGGAGGAGGGCGTCTGCCTGGAGTACAAATCAGATGGCGATGTGACTCGAGCCATCCTAGTGAGGGACGGTTGCAGAGACCGCAGAAGACTGAGGTCTGTTCCCTGGCCACTGGCCTCCAGGAGAGGTGTTGCTTGATGTGGCTCAAGAGCTCTCTTGCTGCTTCTAGGGACAGGAGCCCCAGCCCTGTCAGAACCTCTGTGTGTGCCTGTCCTGTGCTGGGGAACAAGTGGGACCCCTCCAGTACAGAGGTAGGAAGGCGTAGGCACGTAGTCATCTACGCACATTCACTGGGTGTGTGCAAAACCCTATTGGCAGTTTGGTTGTTCCTCAAGAAGTTAAACCTAGAATTAGCATTATGATCTCATCTTTCCACTTCTGTACACACCCAAAAGAATCACAAGCAGGAACTCAAACACATATTTGCACACCCATATCCATAGCAGCATTTTCCCAATGGCCAAAAGGTGGAAGCAACCCAAGTGTCCATAATGAATAAACAAAATGTGGTGTAGACAGACTGTGGAATATTATTCAGCCTTAAAAAGGAAAGAAATTCAGACACACGCTACAACATGGGTGAATCTTGAAAACATTTTGCTTAGCGAAATAAACCAGTCATAAAAAGACAAATATTTCTGTTGGTAGACTAATAAATTCATGTTTATGTAATATTCTGAGGTCTTTGAGTGAAAAAGATAGGCACCATTACTCTTTTCAATTTAATCTCACATGGACAAAAGGTTTTCGGATGATTGTCTCTTGTGCTGTTAGGTAATGGGATCTGTCAATCTCAAGCTCTGCACCTCAGTTTTCTAATGTGGAGAAATAATGTCATAGCTTTGTTCTACCCAGGACCCTTCCTCACCTCCCACCCTTCCCTAAAGGTATGGGAGAGGGGCTGGGAATTCAAATAGTCCCTGTGAGGTCAAATGGTCCCTGATTTTATAAGATTCTGTTATTGTTTAGCCTCTGCTTTGGCATTTCTCATTCTCAGGCATGACCAGGAAGCACCTGTTTGACAGTCTCCATCCCCACCTCTTTTCCCCTCCGTTACCCTTCTGTGAATCACACTGGTTTCTTTATCCTTTGGCCCCAAGGTAAACTTCCCCTACTAATAGAGAGAAGTTTTGTCTGGGTTTGAACTATTGCAAATAGAACCATCATGTCCATTTCCTCACCTGTCCCCCACGACCAAGGTTATGAACTTACAAAGCAAGGACCTGGGACAGGAAGATAAGGACTAAATGGAAGCAGAGCAGTCCGCACAGGA